CTATATAGTTGAATGGCACCAGTATCTTTTCTGGGAGAAGTATGGTCTTCCAGATACTTATGCATGCAGAGTTAATTTGTAGGAGTTTATGCATTAATTCAAAGCACTCCTCTGGCTTGCCACTCACAAAAGTGGACCCCTTGAGCTGACTAGAAGTTAGTTGTGATTCTGGTTAAAGATGCTATTCAAAAACAAATATTAGTATCAGTATGGATTTCTGAAACAGCAAATAAATTAAAAAAAGCAACAACCAAAAAACCCCTACCTCTTCTAGCCAGAGACGTGACGGTTGATCTTCCCAGATCACTCTTTGTCCAATAATTGTCTCAAGCTTCCTGTAAACTTCTGGATACAACGGAAGTATTTGGAAGTCTGCTGGAGTGGGAAAAGAATGTTATATTTACAGGAATTCCTTTTATCATCAGCTGTCTTGTCCTGAGGCAGATCCCTTACCATCCTTCTGAATCCTGTTTTCTCTTCAAATCTGGCAAACTGCTTTAAAGCTTTCCTTATGAACATTCCTCATTAATATTTTTGTCCTAATGCCTAGATTACACAGAGGTATTCTGTATTCTAGAGCTTTTTATTCATCATTTCAGCAAGACTCTAAACTATTTCAAATTAATACAAAAAACATTTCTGTCCTATTGACTTCAAATGACAGTGAGCTGATTCATGAATCGAATGCATTTGTTCATATGCTTGCTTGACTAAACCTTTGAACAATTTTCCAAATCACTAACACATTTGGAAAAATGTTGTTTTTCAGTGTTTGTACCTTGTCTTCAAATAAATAGTAATTTTTTACAAACCCTGTATCTTAATGTAGATGAGTGCAGTAGGAGTTTTACGTGGTTCAAAACTCCAGAAATTACGTTCAGTATTAGACAGGATGGTTCAGCTACCTTTCATGCTGTGTTAGAGAAGCTGAATAGTGTCATGGCATGCTCATTTTCTTTCTAAAGAACAGAGTCAATTGCTGTTATCACTTTCACATAGCTATCACTCCATTGAAATTAGCATTTTCACTTTAAGAATGAAACAACTCTTTATAATGTAACACAGCTTAAAGCAGGAGTGGAGAGCAGGATGTAGAGAGCAGTCCTCAGTATATTTTGGAGGAAGATTTACTTAAATTTTGGGACATTGATGTACATTAAAACAAGTAACATCTTAATGCTGTCCTTAATCTCCTTTGTATTTTAAAAAATACAAATGAAAGAAGGCTGTCCAATGATTGAATGCCTTTGTCTGCTACAATGTTAGCCGCCTACGCTGGGGTATACATTTCTAGAATGGCAATAGTAGGAGAAACTTGATTTGAAATTCTAGTTGCTAAATAGCTTCAGAAATTATGCATCTCCTTCAGTGTTAGATTGATTTTGTTGTTCAGAAATGTTGTCCTTCCAAATCTATCCAAATTAGAAAAAATGTATATGGTAGCATCCACAGAGATCAGTGCAGCTGTTAATTTTTTAGAACATGGCTTACAAGTGAGTCTTTTCAATCAGGAATCCTTCCATTTTTATTAGTAATTAATTTCCTACACTGGGGATAGCAAGCTATATTGTTGCTTGAACAGAGCTACAATTTTCCCAGTGTTTTGGCTTATTTATCCTACAGTTTTGTATTCTGTATAAACTCTTTACATCCAAAAAGTCTTTAAAATTTGTATGGCTTTCTGCAACCAACAATGGAACTCAAAGGAGATACTAAGGCAGCTGAAGCCCCATTCCTGTAATTCAAGGGCACATGATGTATGATACCCTTCCACTCATATATACGGGTGAAGGAATACAGTTTTACTGTCTTCTCTTACTCATATGTCATTTATCTGCTCACCGCACTCATTAAGTGTGTTGCTCATGTAGTTGCATGTCTAGCACTTTGGGTAGGATTCATCCTACTGTCCTTGATGTCTAATATGAAGGCATTTAGTTTTGAGTTAGTTGCCTGTCTCCTCTTTTTCAGTCAACAGGTGAAAAAGGCCTTTTTGCAGTTGTGATTCACCTCTTCCAAATTAGGCAGATAAATAAAGTTTGATGAAACTTCTCCTTGTTCATTAACTGACATTGCCTGGGAATGTTTATACATCGGTTTTAACTTAATACTAAAATCTCTGTGAACTCTGCAGATACAAGAGTGGAGGAGTTAGAGTAAGAAAGAAATTAAATTGTTATAAGAATACAGTAAAAGATTTTGCCTACTTTGTAGTATTTGCTTCCAAAATTGATAGAATATTGTATGTGAAAGATATCTATTCATAGAGATCCACAATACATTCTTTGCATTTTTCTTCTATGTTGTTTATGATTTAGAAATGCTAATAAGTGAATGTATTTCTTGTGTTAACAGTAGCCACATCATTCAAATGCACTTTAATGGGGCTTATCTCCTGGTAGCACACACTTTATTGCTTATTTATAGTTTTCATTCTAAAAGGTGTCAGTGTTCAAGATGAAAATAAAAATGGAAGTTTCACTTAATTTCTGCGAGGGCATTGTGATTGCCATTCTCTGACGATAGTGCTATTTGAATTACCACTGTTAGTCCATCTCTACTGAAAAATGTTGTTGCTAAAATAAATTGTCATTTTAGTATTTGTTAATTAACTCTAATGTAGCCAAACCTCTTGGTATTTAATAATCCAAATGAAGGAAATGGAAACTTTCTATGCGTTTTATTGGGGTGTTTTTTTCTGAAATGGGTAACATTTGAGTGTCAGAATTTTATTTTTTTTTTCAGGCCAAGTCAAGCTACTCAAACTTGTTTTAAAAAAAAAAAAGTCATCATAATGATGACTGCTTTATTTAATTAATTGTGATAGCAAGACATTTTTCATTGCTTCTCATTTCAGATTAATTAGGAAATCAAAATGGTCATTACTGAATGACAGCAGATGTCTCTGATCACCAGAGATCATTTAATGTTATGTACTGAGTGGGATTCTTGTTTATTTTTCATTTTGCTTTATATACAAGATAAATTTGAAAATCCAACTTCATCAAGCAAAATTGTATTAGTAAAAAAATGCATTTTTATTATGCATTTTTATATTATTATGCATTTTATATGATTATGCATTATAATTTATATATAATTATGTATTTAATTGCACATATATTTATTTGTGCAATCCTATTTGTTATTTTTATCGTAGAATCATAAAATTATAGCTTGATACAGGTTCAAAGGGAACTCTGGAGGTCATGTGGCTGAATACCCACACATAATGTCCTAATTTATTTATATATTCCACTTTTTTATTGTCATTACCACCTTTCTAAGGGATATTATAGTTACTTAGCAGGTACATTCTCCAAACAGCCTCAGAAGGCAATGGGAAATTGCTCCTTTCTTTCCTGGCACGAAGTTCACCTGCTGCAGCAAGCGAATGGCTTGTCAGATGGATCTGCGTGATTTTGCCTCAACCCACCAACTTTAAAATTGTTAAGTCTTTGTAACAGATTTTCCTCAGCTCCCTTGGGGAATTTCAACTCCCACAAGGTTTCAAAATTTACATAAACAAATTCTCCTGCTCTTACATTTCTTCTTTGCTTCTAGTTTACAAACAAGACCAACAGGTAGCACTTATTCGACTGCTGATTTAATTTGCTGCTTATTTAACTGATGTACCTTGATTCATGACCCAGTCATCTGAGCTAGTAAGGAATGAAGACAGCCAACCTTTTTAACAAGGAAATTTTAGAATGCTGTAACATTGAAAGACAAGTAGAAATAGTAGCAATAAGGTAAGGTAACTACTCCTTATCCGGAAAAAAGAGCATAGGAAAACAGAAATGATGATCTGAAAATCTTTAAAGGCGGCTCTGTATTTCAAATTTCTTACCTCATCCTCTTTGACACAATAATTGGGCATAAGCTGATGAATTAATTCTTAGTGGACAGGTGGGCAAATCAAAATTAACATTCAAATTGGACTATTCTTGGATGTTTAAGTAAAAAGAATAAAGATAAAAAGGTTGTGAAGACAGAATTATCTTTAATTAAGATTAGGGATCTCTGGGATCCATAACAGACAAGGTTAAAGCTCATTTGCAGGCTGATGTGAAGAAGTGTGTTATTGTACTTCGGTCAGTTTCCAGGACCAATAATTTTAGATTCTTAGTCAGTATAAAATTCACTGGAGCAAGTTACAAAGAGCAACTTCATTCTCATTCATACATAAACCCTCTTTAAAGAACTCAGTCTAAAAAGGTTTAAATGTTGTTTATGTGCACTGCAAGGCTCTCCACACTGCCAAGGTCGTGTGAGGAGCCCTTTGTGAAAATGAAATGTGAGCCCACAGTGCCCTGGAATTTCAGAGCATATCCATGTGGATTCTTCTTTTAAATACATGCATGTGTGTGCGTTTATTACTTTGCACATTTTAAGTTTAGTCGATATCTATTCTTATATGATAAGAAATTAGGGACTACTTAGTAGGTTTGATGATGAAACTGTGTGGTCTCCAGAGGCATTCCATACATTAACTTCATTTTTTTTCTTACAACGTCTTGTTCTAACAATCATACCGAGATTTTTGCTGTGCTGCCTCTATAGGTTGCTAAGCAGCAAAGCTTTACCCCCAAACTGTTAGCTCTACTCTGCATGCTGAGACTCTTTCAGATATCCTCAGCAGTTTGAATCTTCTTGCTGAGGGGTTTCCGTGATTGAGAGCAACTGCTTCCAAAGGTCACAGGCTCTCTGTGGATCAGTCCTTTTCTCTGATGCGCACAAACCTGCTCATTTTATGCTTCAAGAAACCCTGCAGCAACCAAACCATGGTCCTGATTGCAACAAACCTTGTGCAAGTGTGTCTTACTGTGTGCTGCATGGTACCAACTGCTATGTATAATAATGTTTATATGGAAAGTGATCTTAAAATGGCATAAGGACAAAAATATTTGTGTGTGCCAAGGTTACTGAAAAAAGCCACCTGAAGATATTAAAACTGTTCTTTTTTGTGTTTTTTTTTTTTTCTGATTTTGTTTTTTTAGGGAAGATTCTGGATGTGCTGGAGAAATATAATCTGACTAATAAAACTCTTGTATACTTTACGTCTGACCAAGGGGCGCATGTTGAAGAAATCTCCAGCTCTGGAGAAGTCCATGGAGGATACAATGGCATATATAAAGGTGAACATTCTCTGACGATTCTTAAAAACTGTGTCAGAAACTATCATCTCCTTGTTTTTGTGCCAAAACTGTAATGTAGTCTGTGGCCAAAAAGATCAAAGCTCAATTCCTTAATCATAAGGAATTCAAAATTCAAATATAGGCAGTAAGTATAAGGTGTTTACTTGCAAAATAGAGCAGCTCAACCAGAGTATGGAGTTTTGGAGTTTTAAGACTAGCAAATGTAGAATCATAGAATCATAGAACAGTTTGGGTTGGAAGGGACCTTCAAACGCCATGTAGTCCAACGCCCCTGCAATGAGCAGGGACATCTGCAACTAAATCAGGTTGCCCAGAGCCCCGTCCAACATGACCTCGAGTGTTTCCAGGGATGGGGCATCTACCACCTCTCTGGGCAACCCGTGCCAGTGTTTCACCACTCTCATTGGGAAAAATGTCTTCCTTCTATCTAGTCTAAATTCACCCTCTTTCAGTTTAAAACCATTACCCCTTGTCCTATCACAAGAGGCCCTGCTGAAAAGTCTGTCCCCATCTTTCTTATAAGCCTCCTTGAAGTACTGGAAGGCTGCCTTAAGGTCTCCCCGGAGCCTTCTCTTCTTCAGGCTGAACAACCCCAGGTCTCTCAGCCTGTCCTCACAGGAGAGGTGTTCCAGCCCTCTGATCATTTTGGTGGCCTCCTCTGGACCCACTCCAACAGGTCCATGTCTTTACTGTGCTGAGGACTCTGCAACTGAATGCAGTACTGCAGATGTGGGCTCACCAGAGTGGAATAGATAAGCAGAATCCCCTCCCTCGACCTGCTGGCCATGGTTCTTTTGATGCAGCCCAGGATATGGTTGGCTTTTTGGGTTGGGAGTGCACATTGCCGGCTCATGTTCAGATTTTCATCCACCCCAAGTTGTTCTCAGCAGGGCTGCTCTCAATCCTCTCATTCCCCCAGCCCGTATTGATACCGGGGGTTGCCCTGGCCCAGGGCCAGGATGCTGCACTTGACCTCTTGAACTGGGCAGAGATACAGCTTTGGAAGGATGTCAGTTCATACTACTGTACTATAATGGCTGGATAGCAGAATAGAAAGGAAAACAAGGTGGTTTGTGAGCCATCAGAAGTCATAAATAGGAGCATCCTTGGCATGGTGATCCCTTCAAAATGTAATACACCACTGGATACCTTTGAGAACATGGTTCCAATATGGGGATGAATATAATTATTGTCAGCAATGTATTTTTTGAGAAAGGCAGGTCAAGGAGAGGTAATAGGATAACAGGATGAGAGAATGAAGGATGTGGAGAAATTCGGCATGATAGCATGGCTATAACAATCACAGATTGGTCATAATCAAAGTTTATGATTATTCATTCACAGACTGCTCATAGACAACATTGTCATATATGAAATAAAGGATTCCCTCTGACAAACTACAGGAAACAGTGTTTTCCAGAGTGCAAGTGGTGGACACAGAGCATCAGGAAAATTAATGTTAAAATGTTTTTAATAATCTTCAATCTTATTGAAATAGGGTGGGAATGCTTGGTTTTATTATTTTTAACGGAATGCAGTGAATATTCTTGTCCTTCTACCAGAGATAAAGTTCTTTTCATTCTTCCACTAGGAAGTGGCTGTGTAATTTGTTTTTCTCTCATATTTCAGGGGACAAGATCAAAGAAATCCAGCAGGTTTTGGAAAGTCCTTTACCAAACTTGAAACTTTCAGTTGTAGAAAGGAGTAAACTGCCTTTATGTATGATTTTTTTAAAAAAACAGTATTACAGAACTACAAAATTACATAGTAGTTTAGTCTGGAAGGCACCTCCTGAGGTCTGTAGTCCTAGCCCCTGCAGAGCTAGGGTGAGCTAGAGCAGGTTGGTCAGGGCTGTGTCCAGTCAGGTTATGAAAATCTCCAGTAATGGAGACTCCACAACCTCTCTGGGCAAATTGCTGCAGTGTTTGATCACACTCACTGTAAAAAAAAAAACCTTTTTCTTATCTTTAAATGGAATTTTCTGTGTTTCAGTTTGTGCCCATTGCCTCTTGTCCTCTCGGCAGGCAACTTGCTGCAGTGTTTGATCATACTCACTGTAAAAAAAAAAAAACTTTTTCTTATCTTTAAATGGAATTTTCTGTGTTTCAGTTTGTGCCCATTGCCTCTTGTCCTCTCGGCAGGCACTACTGAAAAGAGCCTGGCTCTGTCCTGTGTTCAGGTAGATCCATGTATCCATACAGTTGTGTAAGATCCCACCGGTCTTTCTCTTCTCCAGGCTGAACAGTCCCAGCTCTCTCAACCTCTCCTCATATGTTGAATGCTCCAACCAGTTAATAATTTTCATGGCCCTCCTTTGAACTCACTCCAGTATGTCCATGTCTCTCCTGTACTGGGGAGCTCTGCACTTGGACCTGGTGCTCCAGGTGTGCCTCACCAGTGCTGAGCAGCAGATAAGGATCCTCCCTCAACTTGCTGGAAATGTTCTTCCTAAAGCATCCTAGGATGATGTTGGCCTTCCTTGACACAAGGGCACGTTGCTGGCTCACATTCAGCTAGTCGTCCACCAGGAGTTCCAGGTCCTTCTCTGCAGAGCTGCTTTCCAGCCAGTCAGCTCCCAGCCTTTGCTGGTGCTTGAGGTTATTCCTCTATGGATGCAGGACTTTGTATTTCCCTTTGCTGAACTTTAAGAAGTTCCTTTTGGCCCATTTCTCCAGCCTGTCGAGGTCCCTCTGGATGGTAGCACAACCATCAGTGGATCAGCCACTCCTCCCAGTTTTGTGTCATCTGCAAAACTGCAAAAAGGAAGAACAATAGACATATATAGTAAGCAATAACAATACAGTGAGGTTTCCAAGTGAGAAGACTCCACAGTTTCTAGTCAGTAGGTATCTGTCTGAGAATATTTTGCGAGAGCTACGAAGGAAATGCTACACAAGCAAAACAAGCAATGCCAAAGTCATGAGGTTACGAACTATCAATGGGTCCCCTGTGATAACACCAGAGTGAAATGTGTCTTGAACATTAGCACATAGGCCTTACATAGTGGTTAAGTAATTAAGGAACCATATGGTTACATATCTGTAGCTGTAGGCACAGCCTGAGGTGTTTTAGAAGCTCTAAAAAATATTTGCCTTCTAGAATGCCAGACATAAGATACAGGATAAATGATGAGAAGGAAAAAAAAAGACAAATACACTGGGGAATATGCCTTCCCGAGGAACTTTGGTTGAATGGAGTCTTTTCTATCAAGCCTTGCAAAATCTTGTATTCATACTTACAGAATGGAGAACAATTTGAAATATATCTTACCTGAATTAATAAAAAACTGATTGATAGGGTTACTTGGGGAGTGATGTGGCATCTTACTTTTAAAAATAATTGTGTGGTTTACAGTTACCACCTATGCTATGCTGGCAAGTGTCATAGTATACTATGGAATAGAAAATAATCACTATATAAGAAATAAAATAATTACTGTATGAGAGGCATTCGTAATGAAATGAAAAGAAATTTAAAGACCCATGCAATCAGTTGAATATACTTTTACCATTTTAAAATACAGTCAGTTCTGCTTTATCTTCCACTCTCTCCAGCTACATATCAGTCTTCAATTTAACAGGGATATTATGCATCATTTTCAAAAGGGCTGAAGTGGAAGTGATCAATGATTTGCTTAAGTAAGAGTTTTCATACATAAGAATTTATTCATAATAACAGTCATGTACAACGAAAAGTGTTAGAGGTCTGTACATTTCTGGCAGATTTAATGAAAACCACACCTGTGAAGCCCTAGGTCTCAAGCACTGATGTAGCAACATGCCTAAAAAAGCAAAAGGATGATCTTTATGCTGCTTGTGCTCATGTGTGCCTCCACCAGGAATTTGCTTCATCTGATGAGTACTTTACAAAACTGGGAGACATGCACGTCCTTTCTCCTTGTCTTTGCTAGACAATCTCCGCTACTTACCTTTTTGTATATCAGCGCTGCATGAATGCAAATACAAATCAATCCATTTAACCCTCTCGTCAGAGCTGGAGTCGTATGCTCAGCAATAATTGGTTCTGCCCTAAAATCAAAAGCTCTCAACAGATGTCCACAATTCAAACTTACTAATTTGGTATCCAGCAAATTTGATAATTTGATACCAATATCAAGATATTGGTCTTGATATCCAGCCAAATGAGCACCAATAGTAAAATTTAAGGAGTTTGGAGAGTTAGGCTAGCATTGCAAGACTGAATGCAAAAAGGGAAACTTGCTATCTGAAGGTTTTATTGCTCTGGATTCTGACTGCGGAACAGTCACTGTGAATTTGGATAGCCCTTGAATTTAGAAACCAGAGCCAACAGAGTGTTTAACTAGTTGCTGTCATACACAATGTGGTTTATTTCTTCAGTATCCTGTTTTAGAAGACATTATATAGCAATATCAAAGTGATGGATCAAAATCATGGCGTGTCTTTCCAGTAGCCTTTTTCTGACAGTTGTCAGGATCAGAAACCTTGGAGGAAGATGCAGGAGCTGTGTAGTGAATAAAGAAGATCCCTAAGAAGGCCTCCTCCTAATCCTAGATATCATGACCTTGGTTTAAGATGTGAATCCTGACAATTTAGATTCTACAAAGAGTTCTAGCATTAGTTGTATGAGTGTTCATCATACAAGATGGAATTCCACTTTGAATGTTTCTAAATTCTTAGCATAGCCTAAATCCTTTGGCAATGAGAACACGGTGCTTTCATAGACTATTTTGAAATGGGACAGTTGCAAATTTCATGGAACATCTTGAAGTTTAATACTGTTTCCTCATTGATATAGGATAAGGGAGGGAAAACTTACTACACCCTCCCTAGCTTACCTTTGTTTTGTACACTTTCATTGTTTCTCTTTCCATTTAATACCTCACTCAGAAAAGATTTGTCGGTCTCTCTCACTAATGTTAACTGATGAGTTTTTCCTTGTCCCTAATTTCTTGTTATTTTCTTCTGTGAACTACTTCTAATTGTGCAAGATATTATTTT